AAGCGAGCACACCGACCAAGCCACACCAGCCGACCAACCCCCCCAATGAAGCATGGAGGACTTTGAGACAAGCATAGGAAACCGTTGGCTTTCCTCGAAGCTGATGGTCCATAGTGCTATGCCCTTTCTTGATGCTTTTTGATATTTTGATGTGATTTGGGGCAATCCCTCCCAGCATGCTCATGTTCAGTCCAATCCCTTCCACTACCGGTCGACCAGTCAAACCTGGTCCTGAAAACTTCCAAACTGAGTCGTGTTTTTGGGTCATGATCACCTCAGGGCGTGTTCTTGTTTGGTGGATGCATGCTAATCGATGCTGATCCACCCCACCGACATCACTCCACCGAGTTGCACTGTTGCGAAAGGTCCGGTGTACCCCCAACGCGGAGGGCGAAGGACGCAGGGCAGCCTCGGGGGCAGCCTGGCAGGCCGCCACATTGAAGGACTCGGAGGATCCGCCTCCAACCTAATAGCGATGGTTGAAGAGCCCTGAAGAGCCCCATAGACTATCCCTATCCCATAGGTACCCCAGTATGGTCCGTTGAGGTCACTTAACCTTAACCCCGCTTGCTTCACCAGAATAATTACAGTATATACAAATGTCAAAGCATGTGTATGTTTTTTTGACGGGTAAGGGCCGGGTTTTTGTTCTTCGGTCTAGGATGGTCTAGGAGATGCAACATGCTTATGGCAGGGGGTTGATATGGATTGATGCATCATCCGTCTACATCGACGTAGGCTTAGCACGGCTTGACCGACGGGAAGCTTCCCGTCTGCCGGAAGCGCCAAGCCCGTCGGCAAAACATGCACTTCCACGGTGCGCACCAGGCCCAAAACACCATCAAACCTAATGAAGTCACGGTGCTTTGAGCACCTAATTGGCGATGTTGGCAGGCTGGCCGGAGGGTGCCTCTTGCTGATTTTCCAAGTCAAACTTCACATGGTACTCCTGGCCTCAGCTAGTCCTAGAAAGGTCAAATGATGTCGAAAGTCTGGTGGAGACTCCATCGCAAGTCCTTGAAAAACCGAGACCGAGGGCCGTCTCTTCTGCAGGTCCACCCGGGTGCTCCTTCCGTCCTCGTTTCCACCTCTTCCCCGCAACGAGGACCGGGCTTCCGACTGGCTTCCCTCTGAAGCAGGGAGGCCCTGCACCGCGTCCTTCCCTGTGGCACGAACACGTGGGTGGCCTGCTCCTTCTCGCTCTTGTCACTCTTCTCACTCTCCGCATTCAAGACGTTGGATTCTGGAGGAAGAGCGGAGAAACTCACGCGCAAGTTCCTGTGAGGCGGCAAACAACAAAGGTCATTCATTGATTCCAGTCACTTCACTACAGCACAGGCAAAATGGAACTTCCGAGCAAACTTGAGTAAATAAACACGTGCAGGAATTCTTCCGTTCAGCATTGGAGGCTTTTGGAGACTCCGAGAAGCTTCAAAGGCATGGAATGGGCCTGCGAAACAACAACTGGTTTCCTTCACGGGGGCAATTTTCCTTTAGAGTGTTCTGCAAGTATGTCTGGGATGGTATCTACATGACAAAGGAACAGGTGGGCAAGCTTTAGAGGTCTCTAATTTGAAGGTCAGGTCGGTGGATACAAACACCATCTAATGTCTTCAAGCCGAAAAACATACCGTACAGAAAAGCAACTGCGACCTTTTCCTTGTATGTTCTGGTGCGTGAGGCAAGCCATTGTAGAGACGTGACCCAAGGCAATTCTTCAGGTTTGTTGTGCCAAATTGACGTCTGGTTCATCATTGAAAGCCTTTGGAGTGGGGCAACTTGCACTCCATTCATCGCGCCCCAGAAATCTGGGAAAGAAACAAACCACCCGAAAATTAAACACCTCAAATAAATGAAAACATATTAGGTAGCTGAACCTGAATGCAGGCCACCACGCCCTTGTTGGAGACGCCCTTGTTAGAGGCACATGACCCCCAAAAGAAAAAAGAACATCCTCCGGTTGTACAGGGCATCATATCCAGCCATCTCGGCTGAATCGAAAGTGGGATCTTGCTGTATTACGAGGGAGGATTACTATGTTACTATGGCACAATTAATCTTGAACAATGGAATTGTTTTTATCCCCAGAGTTGCTTTTGTTGTTATTGTGTTCCTCTCCCATCCATGCTATCCGGTATCACATCCTAACAATCAAAACACACATCAAAACAAACACCCCCACCACGACCCTCACCACCACCACCACCACCAACAACAACAACAAGAAGAACAAGAACAATAACAATAAGAAGAACAACACTCTTTGGATAAAACATGTTTCATGGTGTCTTTATGTCGTTTGGACGTTCCAGGTGCTTCCCTTTTAAAATTAAGTTGTATCAACAATGGTCCTGTCATATCAACAAGGGTCCTGTTGTTGCCCAAAAGCATTTCAAGGAGGTAGTCCATGCGCACCGTAGAATTGATTACTCTCTCTCTATATATATATATATACTCCACTCTCTCTCTCTATCTATCTATCTATCTCTATATATATACGTACTATTCGCGTTGCTACCGGATAGTAAGGTTGACCCCCCATTTTATCCTAAAATTTGTAATCTAAAATGATGTTTGACACTTCAAAGGTTCCAAAAGGTGCAAAATGAAAGCAATTTGTATCTAAACTGG